CAACGATCACAGGACCCTCCTTCTATGGATGGCCTCCAGGAAATTGATCCAGTCATTATGCATTGCAAATATGGCAACAAGCCAATGCAGTACAAGGTTACCTTTAAGCAATGCTTCCGGGACGAGAAACAATGAGCAGACTTGCAAGCATCAGCCCCGCTTATCTATGCCAAGTACGAGAAGTGACAACTAGCAAAGGAGGCTTCACAACCTGCCCATCCCACCCGGACCTCGGTCCCTCCCTCTGATAGACAGCTTGGCCCTCGCCGCTAGGCCTGGTCTTTCAAGGAGGGGGGGGGGTTGGCATTCTTAGTTCCACACGGGCCCCTGCAGGGCCCAACCAGCAGGGTTGGGGGTCCTAAGGGTTAGCAGGCTAAGTTTAGGCCGGGTTAGGTGTTAGGACTGGTGCGTCGTTTCGTTTAGCGCCATGCCCCTGGTTAGCACCGGCGCCGTTCAACTTAGGCACCAGGCAGTTTAGGCCTTGATTCGGGTCCACAGCAGTTTTGGCACCAGAGTTCCATTTGGGCGTGCCGCTAGGCTCGGGCTTCCAAGGAGGGTGGGGCGTGGCATTCTTAGTTCCACATGGGCCCCTGCAGGGCCCGACCAATAGGGTTAGGTGTCCTAGGGGTTAGTGAGCTCAGCTCAGGCCAGGTTAAGACGTTAGGCTCTGCTGAGTCATTTCGTTTAGCCCCAGGCCCCTGGTTAGTACCGGCGCCGTTCAGCTTAGGCGCCAGTCCATTCAGGCCCAATTTTGGTGTGCGCCTTTCGTTAAGCGCCAAGGCAGTTCAGACCCTGATTCGGGTCTGCAGCAGTTTTGGCACCAGAGTTCCGTTTGGGCGCCAGTCTGGTTGAGGCCCTGGCCTTAGGATGGTCGGCCTCCCTGGCAGTCCAACGTCATTTATAGCTGGTCTGCCTAGTAGTTGGTAGGTAGTATGACGTAGTGTTCAGGTAGACTTCAGTAGTCGACACTCTGGGCGCTGTAGGATTGAGTAGAGTGCTGGGCGCTGGCAGAGGTTGACGATGCCAGAGAGAGTTGAGGTTGGTGGAGGTCAAGGGACTTACCTGTCAACTTACCTACAGCGCCATAGCTCCAGCCTCGCCGTCAGCACGTCCGCACCAGCATCAAGGCAACACCTTTCTGCAGGTTACTACCTGGTGTACACACACACACACACACACACACACACACACACACACACACACACACACACACACACACACGCACACATATACATGCATAAATAACAGAAAGACAGGGGACAAGAAGGCTGAGAAAGAAAGGGAAGGAATCGCCAAGCATGGGGGACGGAGGGTAAGATGGGGGATGAAGCATGTTATGTCCTCAGAATATACGGGAGGACGTCAGCAGTAGCAGGTGAGTCAGGTTGATACCCCCGCTGCTCACGCAATAATATAAGTCCACTTCGCAGTTATTACAAGCTGGGAAGTACGCACCAGACTGGTGGTTATGGGATGCTCTATCAGAATGTGCAATAACCCTGGTTCGGTTATGCGCACAACCCGTGCGCACAACAGAGCTAGCTTCGATATGACCCCTCCGCCTTGCGTACGGGGTAGGTCCTATGGGATAATAAATCTTTCCCTCCTTTTTCCCGCTGTTTCCTGTATCTTCATTTGTCTGTTGTTTCTTCCTCATGCTCCTCCCCCTTCTGTTTCGCGTTTTTTTTGCTTCTTTTTGTTTCTTCTTCTTTTTGTCCTTTTCAATCTTGTTTTCCTCCCCCCATTTTTTTTTTCTTTCTTTATTGTTTTCGTTTTCGTTTTCCTTCTTTCTTTTTTTTCTGTTTTTTCTTTTTTCTTTTTTCTTCTTTCTTTTTTTGTTTTTTTTCGTTTTTCTTTTGTGGCTCTTTGTTGAGTAGTGCCATATAACTTACTCGGTACCACACTTTTTTCAGCCACTGACGGATCACTTACGGATCACCAATAGTGACGCTTCGCTCAACTGGAGGTTGCCGTTTCGCGATAGTGTGCTTTGATTCGTCTCTCTCCCAATATGTGAAGCTTTTTTTCAAAATAAAATTTTCATGATTTTTTCAGAATTTTTTTCAGGAGGATTGGTCTCCCCGCCTCGTGACATCATCAGCGGTCGTGCCGCCCGCGAGCAGCATCCTTCGGAAATTGATGATGACAGGACATTATTTTAGCTACAGGGATATCCCTCAGACTCCCAGCATCTATTCAGCGCACTTGCCTTCTGTTCGATCGTAATCCAAGCTGTGAGCAGAACAGCGGCAAGTATTCCAGTTCTCAGGGGCTCAGGTGAACGGTGTACGAGCCATCCCCGAGACGTTGGTGCCTCGCGGTTGCTTTCGCCATGGACTACCAGGTGGATCAGGAGTTGCTGGATCGAATGATCAATGACGAGGAGGACATGGTATAGGCCCCTACGCTCTCATCTCCCGAAGCATTCACGGATTATTCGATGTGCATGATGTGCCACGCATGCGCCGCTGCTGATTGTTTACTATTTCTAGTTCAATCTGGACATTTGTGACCTTCTTTTTAAATAAACTAAGTACGGATGCCTGTATCTCACACTTTGGATTTCTTTTGACGACTATTTCTTTGTCGGTGCTTACGGGACTGCCTCCACACGTAGTATCCATCCGAACGAATGTCGACCTTTGCAGTTGATGCCAAGATCGAATACTATGATGGATGGCGCCGGTTGCCCTTGTAGGATCGGATAATATGATGAATGAGATTGCGAATGTCTTCTCCTTTACAGTAATCGCACTAGATGCATCGAAATAATTTTTTCTCTCTGTTTCCGGTTGGCTGGCTAAGTATGGGTCCGACTCCTCTGTCTATGTACACTGCAATGATCAGATTGGGTGACCAAACGTGGTGGTAGGCCGCTGAGTCAACAGTCCCAGTTAAGCAGTCCGGTCCTGTCCAGCAAGTACCGTCTGGGACTGTGTGCACCAAGGGCCAAGGGACACATGGCAGACCAACGCAGCGCAGAAGTATAAATCAAGAGGCTGCGTCCAGCCATTCATTCATTCCTGCGGATGCCATGCGGAAGCGCTGCCTCAGCAGCTTCCGCGAGGATGTCTGCAGTGTGCCCGAAGACGGAGTGGGCAGAGGAGTGTAGTATAGCGCTAGGGTAGTGGCAGCTAGCGCTGCCATAGCTGCAGTAGTGTGTGTGTGTGTGTTGCGTGTGGGACATCCAGGGTGATCCAGAGTGTGAACAGTGAGTGCTAAGGGCGCTCAGTCGCCATAGCCAGTGGAAGCGAACTTACCTGGAAGACATATCACTGTGTACTGTGTGGGCGCATGTCAGCAGTTGTTTGTTGCTGTTCACGTGCATGAAAAGTGGGAATAAGTCGAGTCTGATTGCACTGGTATCGGAGCTGGTACCCGCTGTTCTGCGCGCGCCGTCGTGTGCAGGCTGAGGCGCCATAGCTGAGGTGGCCGCTGGAGGAGATAGTCTGCCATCGCGGACCTTCGGTGGAGGAAGCCGCTGCGCACCTGCATCAAGAGGAATACGTCGAAGAGGAAGATTGTGTGTGTGTGTGTGTGTGTGTGTGTGTGTGTGTGTGTGTGTG